TCTGCTGAACTTCCCTGAATGACAGAAAATCCTCTCCAAGGAGCAAGTGGCTGGAACAAATGGGTTGAAAACAGTTTCAAATGGTGCCTTGAAGTAGAGTTTGTGTTCCTGAAAGCTTACTCATTTCTTCCTAATATGCCAACTAGTCTAATAAAAGAAATTGTCTTTCCCTAGAAGCCTTGCTTTGTGATAGCCATCTGCTAATGAGAGATACTATTGTGATGAATAATGCCATAATCTTTGGGAACATTTGCTCCAAGAGAGCCTTGTGGCAGCAGGAGGCTTCTCTCCCACTCCTAGATATAGTTTGCATGGGAGCATGGGCTCACCAGGGAAACGCAGTGATGTCTAAGAGCTTGCATCCATTTCAATTGCCATTTGCTTAATCATAGATGCCAGCCTGCTATGTTTCAGCCCAGAGCAAAAACTTCTGGTTGTGTGGTGAAGGGTGGAAATTTTTATCATCTCAGCCATAATCGGTACAGCTGTGTGCTGCTCAAGAAAGCAATAGACAAGTAGACAAACAGATCACCAGAACGTGGTTTCATCAGCGTTGGTGCTATTTAATATGCAATTTTTTTATTTTTTTTTTCCCTGTGGGTATAGAAAATTGTCTTTTTTGTTGTTGTTGTTACTGTTGTTGCAAGCACAATGTCTTTCAACTTCCTTTCACTTTCAGGTATCTCTGATGATCTTCTGCCAAAATCAAGGGAAACACAGGTCTGGTTGTAGATCAAAGAAGTAAAAATACTATTTAAAATATTGATTGCAGTGTTTCCCTGAAGGGAAAGAAAAAAAAAAAAAAAAAAAAAAGAGAAGAAGAATGAATATACAGCAGGAAATGTTGGCAGATGCTGCAAAAAGCTCCCTTCTTTCTGAGTTTCCTTGAGATAATCTATGCTGTTTCTCAGTCTCCAAATGGAATGGAATTGTCTTAGATGTGGGTAGTTTTAGTGCCTGATATTTGCAGATAAGTTTATTCTTCATGAATGTGTCAAAGGTTGTTAGGATAGTTCCATTTTATCTTCCAGGGGGAAGGGAGGCTGGCTGTGAGTGGCAGGAAATGCAAATCTGGCTGGAGGGGAGAAAGATAGAGACTTAATGGTGGAGAATACAGGCAGAAGGTTGAACGCTGACAAAAATGGGAAGCGACCATATGTGCTGGCAGACATTTGAAGAATTCATTTAGCAGCTTTCAGTCCAGCTAGCAGCGGTGTGAATTTTCCTAGAGAAGGGGATCCATAATTGCTCAGCAGACTGCAGGAGAGACGGGTCCAAATTGCTGGTGCAGAAGCAGCACATTGTGCTTACAGGAGACAGGATGCAGTAGAAATGCAGAATTACTGTGTGAGAGAGAGTTTTACATAGGAATGATACAGGGCCTTATCAGTAGACTGAGTGAATGAAATAACTCAGAGGATGGTTTGCTCCTCCTCCACATTTTCTCCTGCTGTGCTCGACTTTGCTCAGCATTCACCTTCAGAAATTTTCTACTGCTCTGTGCCTGATGAAGGGAAAGCGAGCGGGCTGAGGAAGGAGCAGGTCTGCCCAGATTCCGGGTAAAGATAAGCTGCAGATATTTCCCCTGTCCATCCTTTCCTGTGGCTTCTCGCCCCTCCTGCAGGAGGTGTAGCCTGCAGCTCTGCTGCTGGCATTGAGGGCTTGGTATGGGAAAGTCACATCACCAGCACTGGGTTTCTCGTTATGAGGATGGGATTTATCTGGCCCTTGACTTCCCTTGATTTTGGCAGAAGATCATCAGAGATACCTGAAAGTGAAAGGAAGTTGAAAGGCATTGCATTTGCAACAACAACAAAATAATGTCACCACTGATTGTTTTTGCCACTAAAGAGTCTTTGAGTAAGTGACACAACAACAACATGAAAACTCCTTTTGAAAGCTACCATGCTTTTTCTGGGTACTCAGCACCCTTCCCGTAGCAGACTGGTTGGGTTTTTCTTCTTATGACTCCTTTGTAGCCCTATTTTTATGGTAGCCAGGCTCAAGTAGCCTTAGATCTCACGTTGTTATGTGTAGGAGAAAAGCCTTGAACTCTGCTCTGCTGAAACAAAGCATACCCTAGCACTGGAAACTTTTTCGGAATATGGACTTTGGGGCTGGCCAGTGGAAAAATAACAGAAGCAGAAGGAAAAAAGTGTGTTTTAAACCAACAGCTTGTTTGGTAATTTCTGTCTGTTTGTGGACAAATAGGGGTACCTTGTCAGTAAGCCAGGCCAGGCAATGTATGCACAGCTATCTACTTGCTTAAATCCTCAGAGAAAAAAAAAAAATGCACTTGCAATGAGACAGCTACAAAAGCTGAAAATATTTGGGACCACATTCAGGAAAAAAAAATATATATATATAAATATATATATATATATATATATGTATATATATAATAATATATATATATATTTATATATATATATATATATTTTTTTTTTTACACAGCTTCAGAAAGAAACTGCAAGCCCATTGCTACCACACAGCTTATTTCGCTTCTAAATTGTCCAATGGCTCTAATACTTTGTCTTCTCAAGGAAGGACTCCTTGAAGTTGATGTAAATGAGACTTGTTATCTCCTGCAAAGGAAAATCATGTTTGTAATCACTAATGAAACTTGTGAGACACACTGCTACCACAGATAAATGTGATGGATTTTAGAAAGTGTTCATTTTAGGTGCACAGTGGTACAACAAAGTACAGATTGGCTCAGCAGCCGTCTGAAAAGGCTGCCAGTTTCTGCTGTCAGGAATATGAATTATAATACAGATAAACAAAATAAATTGAGTTGTTCAAAACTAGTGCTACCATAAACAACAGCAGAACCTGCCAAAAAAGAAGAAGAAAAAAAAAACAGCACCAGTTTTTAGAACATTTTCATTGCTTATCATTAAAGACTGCTTAGTGATATAAAGCTTTTAAAATAAGTATGGAACGAAGCTGACTCAAACTAGATGCATATAAATATCAGGGGAAGAAGTCCACTTAAGATAATGGATAGAAATCAGAGGGGGAAAAAAAAAAAAAGAAGTTGACTAAAAAGTTTTAGGTTCCCTGTTCACACTGGGTCACACTGCTTCCTGAAAAGAAGATATGCATTGCCTTTAAAGGACATTTCAGAAATACATTTAGCTAACTGAATATAAATTGTATTTGAAATTCTCTGCTAATAGGAAGGAAGATGAGGCAGACCTTGTACCAGGAGCGATCTCAGATGTTGCCTGGTGCTGTTACTGCATTTTCCTTTGGTGTTGTCACAGAGGCTCAGTTTGTGGCAATGGCCCACAGCAGAATGCTTGCATAAATGTGAAACTAATATAATTTATCTACAAAATTGCATGGTACTGTGGAACAGCACTGTGCAAGTTCCTCTCGGGCAAAATTTTCCCTGGCACTTCAGGTGGGTTAGCTGAGTGAAAACCAAAGTCTACAGCCTATAAACCAAAAAGAGGACATCCACTAAGCAGACCCAATTTCTCTCTCTGCGTGATGACTTTGGCACTGCTTGGCCCCTTACCAGTAAGTCAGTAAGGCTCCTGGTGAATTTTTGAACAGGAGTTTTCAGGGAAAATCCCGGGTGCTGCAAGCAGTCACCCAATTCGGTAGACGGCAAGTTTTCCTCTGAGTCAGCCCTCCCTCACACCTCCAGAAAGCTGGGAGGCACAGCCCATAGCCCTGTCTTCCTACCCACCCTGCCACAGCGCCGACCGCTCTTGGCTGTGGGGACAAGGCCTGAGTCACCCCGGAGCCGGTGGGCGCCTCTGGCCCCCTGCCCTGTGAGGACGTTTTCCTGTGGGAACAAGTGATGTTAATGCTGGTGCCCAGGCTACATCTCTGATTCACCCATTGTGGTTTTGTTTGTGGAAAGATTTAGATCGAGTAGTATATTGCAGCTTGGTGATTACTTTGTTTGTCTATAGTGCCTCCAACTGCCCTTCCAAGAGAGCAAGGCCATGCCTTCCTTGCCCACCCCAGGCTATTATTATGTGGTGCTGAACTGGTTTTTAAGCAAACAATTGCCAGGCAAGAATTTCCGTCTATTATTTTTCTGAATCTTTCAAGTTTCCTTGGTATTAGCAAAGGCAAAGCTCTTGGCTGAAGTTGAAAGAAATCATGTGAGATTTGGTTACCACTGAGTTTTGGTGTCTTGAAATAATTTCTCTCATTTTGCATCTGTGCTTGCATGTGTTTCAGAAATAGAACTAGTGAATTCATCCAGATTTATAGATTGATCCCAAACAAGAATCTGAGTATTCAGCATATTGTGATCGCAGTTTTTATTTTCTGCAGTTATAGTGCTTCAGAGAGTAGATCTTTAACAAGATTTAAACGGTGACATAAAAACATAAAATGTGCTTGGAAAAAATAGCATAAGCAGAAAAAAAAAAGAAAAAAGGTCTGTATGTGTGGCACAAATAAATGGTTTAGCAAGGAGTCATGGGCTAATTCATTTTGATAAAAATGAAAGCAATAAGTGAGAAACATGGACTGGGCTGTATTTTGAATGGTGAGACCTGGGGTGGAATAAACAGACTGTGCTTGAATACAAGATTTTATGTGACATCTTAACATTTAGAAAATGTAATATATAATTTCTGATTTCTGCCAGAACCAACATTTTCTTATTTTTTACCAGTTGTTTCTTTCTCCTTGTATTAAATAAGAAGAAAGGAATGGTTTCTAGAGAGGGAAAAATAAACAAAAAGTATTTAGAAGATGTTCTGTGCACACAAGGCCAGAGTTCATTTGTTTCTTCCTGTAACCACACTGAGTCTAATAAAATGTGTTGCTTCTGCTTACCGACCTTGCTTCAACTCCTGTGTGATTGCTGCTCTCTAAATAAAATACCATATCATGTGCTCTGTTGATGTTGTGGCCATTTGAGGCTCTAATTATTGTTAAAAATGAAGCAAAGTTATCTCAAAAGGGGAAGAAATGCATACAGATTTCAGATCATACAAGTTTTGTTGTTTTTTTTTCAGGCTGATCTTGGCATATGCATGTGTTGTTGAAATACCTAATGCCAGAGGTGCTGATAAATCTGAATTTTGTCATGGTGCTATGGAGGAGTTAGTAAAGCAAGATGCTGAAATCAGTACCACCTGGGAAGAGGCAGAGTTTCCCAGATGACAGATATTCCCTGAGGCACGGCCAGTTCTCCACCCAGCACATCTCTGCATGGGCACCCAATTCACCTCTTACTGAGGACAATCACCCCAAGTAATAGATATGGAGGAGAAAAATGAATTCCTCATCAGTCTACAAGTGCTACAGCATTGCCTAAGAACACAGGTTTTTGTGCTCTCATATATGATGTAAGCTGGGCTCAGGCCTACAGGTGTAATCCTATGTGTTACCCCCTCCTCTCATTTGCAGTTTGGCTTCATGTTCGGTGCAGTGGGGCTCTCACCTGGTATTTTCTCTGCCTCCCTATGGAGGTCACCAGTAGTACAGGACTGCGGGGGAGGTGGGGGGGGGGGGGCAGAAAGCAGGTGGGTTTCTCAATAAAAGGAAAAGCTAAGGAAAACTGTAAGGTGCCTGTGAAAAAGCCCTGAAAAAAAAATAATAAATGAAGTGGTATATTTAAGGGTTGGGGCAGGGGCACGATCAGCCATACAGTGTTTTGTTCAGTATACTCATTGAGGTAGAAATTGGAGGAGGAGGAGGAAGACGCCTTGGCTCATATGTTATTTCCTTAAAGCTGTGAAGTATGCCGCTGACCATATGGAAGCCAGAAGAAAATACTGAAGTGAAAGAGCTGTGGAGAGACCCTACCAATGCAGGAAAAGTCTCCTCATAGAGCCAGCACTTCCTCACCCTCCAGGCAGGAAGACCCTCCGAGGAGTCTGTGATGATCATCACGGCAGCCCATGGAAATTCTGCAAAGAGACATTGGAGCTATGTTGTGTGCTCAGACTCATCTTTACTTTTAAAGACAAATTCAGGACAACTCAGCCCCAGGAGAAGTATCCTGAGAGAGGAGAAGCTGAAGCAGCAGCCATGCATTTAGTGAAGACCTGCTGTGCTCATATCACAGTGGACGTATGCACCAAAGCCCATCAGCCCCTTAATGGATAACTGCCAGATTATCCACAGGGCTATTTATTGTACTTTATGCATCTGGGGCTGCAACGTCTGATCTGAAAATTGGCTAAAAGTTGTGGGAGGGGTTGCGAATCAGAGGCCGGAGCTTGCATAACTGCGCAGAGTGATGACTTCTAATGCCCAGCTTCCCCCTTCTTGAGGGCTCAAGAGAAATGTCTTTTAACAGTCCCTCGAGGATTTGTGTTCTTAGACCTTTGGAGGACAGTGTGTGCTGATATCACTCTCTCCTGCCAGAGAGGAAATCCACTTGATACTGACCATAACTGCTGCTACAAATCTATTTCATAAAGCTGCTATCACTAGACAGTTGTTTTTTTTTTTTTTTTTTTTTTTTTTTTTTTTTTTTTTAAAGTAGCAGCAATCAATTTTCTGAGTGTTTAAGCTTGGAAGATTTTTGTGGTCAGTGGGATCTTATGGGAGCTGAGATTTCCCGGATGTTATTACTGGAATGCTGCAGCTGCATTTTTAACTGTTGGTGGGCTGGAAGCTCTTTCACATGGGACTGGATAACCAAGGTGCTGCAGAGCCCTCTGGCTTAAACAGCCAGCAGAACTCTGGAGCTCTGCACTGAAGTGCTTTGTTGGATTAAGGTAATGTCTAATAACCCCTTTGAGAATTGTATCTTTGTTGCCCAAAGCTTCTTAGATAATAAACAGCAATTCAAGAAAGTGAAGACTTCCACTCAGCATCTGCTTTTTACCAGACTTTGGATGGCTTCTATGCACAAATGTATTCATGCATCATGAAAATACCACACGTTGGGGCATTAGACCATAAACAGCAGTACCATAAATGCACTAGTCATTAGTCACTCTGTGTTATCAGCTCTTATTCCTATTGTTCTTTTTCCTAAAGTCAGCCAACTGGGCAGCGGGGATAGTTCCATGACAGCTATGCAAAGACAGGAAACCTGCTGAAAAGCAGCATCTTGTCAAAATGAGGTGGACTTGGATCTCCTGAGTTTATAGCTCTCTGAACTAAAAGTGCTGGAATTTCTTTGTGTAAAAACAAATGTAACTTTCTGCTCATTCTTGGCACCTGGGGTAGAGCCTGAGGATGAGTAGGCTCCATTTGTGACACATAACTCTACGGGAATGTGCTTGGTCTTGCTTTTTATAAGCTTTAAATCATTACAGGTTTACAGAAACTGGATGATTCCTTACAGAACCAGGAGACATTATTATCATTTAATTGCATCTTGAATTCTTCCTTAGAAATCCAAAGCAGAAATATAAAAGTATATGAAATGTCATGGAATTGCTTGCAATTGAAAACAAAGCCAAGCACACTCTTGTACCGGCTCCTTTTACTGCCCCTTTCCCTTCAGCAATACCATTGTCCTAGAATTATTTCTTCCATTTTTCGGTTAGCAAAACAGACAACCTTGTTTGAAGGGCTATTCATTTAGGGCTTGTCAACAGATCAGATATTTAGAAAGTGAACTTGAATTTAATTAAGGGAGTGAATTCCAAAATGGATTAATTAAATTGAATTAAACTGCCCTGTGGACACTGTTAAATAAATCACAGTGGTTGCCAGTGCTTCTTCCCTTTCGACAAGTAAAAGTATCTATGTGGGAGTTTAATTTAGTTTATCCAATCCACTTTAAAGATTAATAAGGATTAGCTTTCCTGGGTGTCCTCATCTCTATGAGCGGACAGCCCTCCCAGAGGCTGGCTGCAGCTTCAGCAACACTGGGGCATTATTTCTGTGGTTACTCCCCTGTTGTGGGAAAGCTCTTACACCACTTGTATCCTGCCCACTCCTTTCCAGCAGGGACAGAGCCCGGCCCCAGTTATGTCTAAGCACTGCAAAATGCGAGTGGTGGTGGGATTTTTTCATACAGGCAAGGAGGAGTGGAGAAGGCCATCTGACCTGGCAGTGCTGGAGCTCGGGGTAGCGAGGAACGTGCGCAGGATCCCCTGGGCAGCTCAGCAGGAGCAGGGACTGAGCCGTAGAGCCAGCTTCAGCCTTCCAAAAATGAATTTCGGTAATCTGTGAGACATCATAGAAGAATGAAAGGGAGCTTCAAAATAGCCTCGCTTGAAATAAAAAACATACTTTGGCAAGGCTACGTAAAATGAAAACTGACGTGCTTGACCATCGTATTGACATGTTCATCAAACCGCTCAACAGACTGCAAATATCCCCACGGACTCGGTGCCAGACGTTGGGGCGGCCAACCAGATGTGGAGCAGACCGCGGCTGGGCCTGTTTGCTTCTCCAGCAGGGGTGGAGGGAAGCTGCTTGCAGGTCTGCTGGGGCCACAGCCCGCCAGGACCGTCCCAGCACCAGAGATCCCAGCATCTCGTCTTTTTATGAGGTGTTTCAGGGGGAGGTTTTCTCTGCCTCTTCTGGGCTGGGGACTTGGCTGATGGAAAGCACAGTAGGGAGAGGGTTGAAGTGAGAGCATGATGAGTTTTAGGATGGGGAGTGGTGCTACAAAATACCAGTTCCCTGCAAGTATTTATTATCATACAAAAGCGTGAAGCTGAGCGTGTTTTTGCAGGATGCGAGTGCTCCAGCACATTCCTTGATCAGATGTCTGTACCTTAGGGAACTGGGCTCCTAGCGAGATTTTGCATGATACCAATTCAAAATAGACTCCTATAAGAGCCACTTCAGACTTGTTTTAACTGAAGAGTATTTGTGCCAATAAACTCACTTACTAGGAGATTGCCAGGAAGCAAAAGCAATAGCTAGTCCAGTCCTGAGCAGCTTGAAAATCTGCTACATATGTATTTATACAATGTCTGCGTGCAGGTGCCAAGACATAGCTCAGGGCTCACAAGTTCCACCAGCACAGGGATAATGGAGTTGATTACTACAAACACGCGGCAAGCAAACATGCTTAAACATCTTCAGAGAAACATTACAAAGGCCCCATTTTTCACCATATTTTCTAAATGTAGCAGATGCTGGGGACTGGGTGCCACGATGCAGATTGCCAGGCGTCCAAGAACCACAGTGAATGTGCTGTTAATCATTGGTTGCACTTGATCAGCTCTGAGCAATCACGAAATGCTGCAAGACATTCTTCAGTGGCTCAGTTACAGTAAAATAGAGGCTAATCTCAAAACAAAGGGACTGTCGAGAAGTAATAATTTCTTGAGAACACAATGATACAGCCTGCTTAATTCTCAGGCAACTAATGGTGTGTGACAATGCCGTCCGGCTCTGCAAACAGTGCAAGCACTAAGCCAGGGCTGTGGGGAGGCGGCACCATCAGCCAAGCAGCCAGACTGCTCTGACAACCGCCTTTCCCAAAGTCCATGACTCCACAAATCCAGTTTGTACAAGAGCTGAGCTGTGGTAGGTCAGTTACTTTCTTTTTGTATTGCTTGAGAGAAAATAGGATGGGCTGGCTTGAGAAGCAAAAGGAACACAAACAATCAAAGAAAGGAAAAAAGAACTCAAAATGCTGATTCTGAGGGAAAAAGCAACCCTTTTCAGTACCGCTGATTTCGTGATTAGTAAAAGGAGTCCTAATAGTGTTCTGCAAATATTAATAAGCATTGAAATAAGACTTCAGTGCTGAAACAGTCATAAGAATATATTTCCTTTAACAAATCAGAACTACCTACCTTATGGCAGACTTATCTTACCACACACTTAAAGAGAGGGAGGTTTGAACCAAAGAGTAAAAACTGACTTGGACAATTGTTGAGCTGAGGATTTGCTCCTGAGCCACGGAGAAGTGGACTGGGCACAAGGGACTGGTGACACACAGTTTTAGGATCAGAGAAAAGGAGTGAGGCACCAGGTTGACTTCAGAATGCTCTACCATCCCGACCAGTTTCCTGTGTGACGCTGAGTGAGATACGTGCTCTCTTTATGTCTCACCCTGGGCTGCTTGTCTACTTACACTGAAAACTCTCCTGTGATCTGAAAACTCTCCTGTGATCTGTATCTTTCTGCGTAGTCTGTATTAACCTCTTCCTTAAAATTATTTAACTGCTGCTTGGAATCCTTTGTTTTTTATTACTTTCAGAGTTGCATAATAACAGAGAATATCCCAATGGAAACAAAAGGAGTGAGCTTTTTGGGCTGCAGCTGCTGTTCTGCTTTGGCCCTTTGACAGAAGTGCTTTGCCTGTCTCAAACCAAAAGCAACCATCAGCTGCACTCTCTCAGAATAAAACGAAATGCACCCAACCTGCAGGCAGCAAGCAGACTTGAGAGCCGGGGCAGAGGCAGTGGTGCTAAATGTAGGCAATTGCAAGCACAGCATTGCTCTTTGGTGGCCTTCCACGTGGACAGCCTGAGCACCGGCCCCGAAGCATAGGGAGGAGCAGGTTTTGACAGCTTGCCCCTCACAGCACTGTGATGTGGGCTGCCCTTTGTTGCCCTGGGGAAGTGTGGATCTGGGTACAGAAGCACTGCTAGAAGCCCACTTCATGGTAATTCAGGGAAGAGATAAAAGGTTGCCTAAAGTTTGCACATAATGTGTGACTAAGGGCCAGAGTGGGTAAACACTGCCCTTTTGGAAAGCTACAGGCTTTCTTCTTGCCCTTGAAATCACACACTCAGAACAGCTATGAAGGAATCCAACTTAATGCATTTATTTTCTTCCGCTGTCCTATTAAGGGACAGCTGATGTTACAGAGAAAAGGAGTGAAGCCCTGATGCACTGCTCCACTCCTGAGGCATTCTGGGCTCTGCCACTGTGGCTCTTTGAAGGTTTATGGAAAAACATGTGAAAGAGGAAATGCTACTTGCTCACAGCTTGTAGGTGGAGGTGGGGGCTGACTTTTTAAAGTTAAAATAGGCTGCTCACCTCTTGATTTGCAGTGGGAGTCAGATGCCAGATAACACACTTCTCTCTGCACCCAACACATCTTATCTCCAGTCTTTGTGTTTTAAAAGTCTGACCCTGGGCTCTTGTGTGCTACTTAGACTTACTTTGCTAAAGATAAAAATAGCACACAGGAGCTATTTCTGTCATTCGCAGAGCAGTTCTAGCATTTTTTTTGTTTGAATCCTCGGGCACATTTTCCTTTCTCTCCCCTTCACCACCCCCCCCACCCCCGGAGATCCACACCATTAAATCCATATTTTGCAACTGCATTTTTCTTTCCTTCTGAAATTCTTTCAGATTACCCTTATCTGTTATACCAAAAAATCCCTTTAACTGCTTTCTCCAGTCTTTCAGTCTCATCTCAGTGGGCACATTTGCATAAATGTTGCCGTGGTGTTGTAGGAATCCTTACAAAGGAATTGGCTTGCAGAGTTTAAAAAATTATAAAAGATTTTACACTTCTTTGCAAGTATTCAGCTATATCTTCCTTGAAGCAGTATTTAAAATATATAAAACAGTTAAGCTAAGGAAAGTCAGTCTTCGGAAGATGTGTTTATTTGCATTTGTATTAAAGGTATGTTGTATTAAAATATATTTTAAATGAAAATACAGTTATATTTGCATTTGCATATACTGAATATGTATATCTACATGAACTGCTTTAAGGTTCTTCCAATGACTATAACACCATCTTTCAAAAAAAAAAATCATTACTGAAGTACAAAATGTCAAGTATTGATTATAAAAAGTATATTGAACATTTTGAGAAAATTGACAGAAAAAGAAAAACAAACCAAGACACCTCAGAGCTATGAAATGATAGTATTATAGTAATATACTATTTCTACATAGCAACACAAATAAATTTAAAAAGAAAATGTTCTACTCTTCTTCAGCTTTATATTCTATTCTTACCCTATAAATCATAAGTGGTAAAAGGTAAAGTCTGCAATGCCCCTAATTCATTATATCATCAGATAATATCCAATAGGGAATACCCAAACCCCTTCTTTGGTCCATCTTTTTCTGAGCACAGCATAATAAAGACCACAAGGTGAGCTGGAGCTGTCTGCATTGTGGATTAAACTCAAGCTTGGAGGTAGGGGAGGTCATAACTCCCCTTCTTTTTTCCTGTTGAAACTTCCCTTGGGAAGTTGCTTTCAAAAAAAATCAAGTAAAATAAAAATGGAGCTTTTTATAACACTTCTTAAAACAAAATCTTTTGCTATGAAATGACAATATTCAAACATATATCCATTTTTAAAATGCAAAAACAAAATGAAACATCTGTTTTGACTTAGTGCCATTGAATTTTAGCATTTGGAAATTTAAAGATTTTGACTTTTGGATTCCCATGCTTTTTATAAAAACAGGCCCCTCCTTCTCCTCCTCCAGCCCTTAAACCTCAAATCTGGAAAATATTTAAAGCAGCATGTAGATATTCTCTTTTTCCCTCGCTTCCCTCCCACCCCCATTTTCCTGCTGTTTTCTAACCATTTCCAGTTGTCAGGAAGATGTGCTGCTAGAGCAGAATGGAAAGAAAAATCATCCTATGAAATAAACCCAAAAGAATATACAGGTGTTTGGGCTGTGTGTGTCTCTGAGAGGGATCTTCTCCAACCTTCATATGTCCTCTAGAGATGCAGACTTTGAAATAAAATGCTCCGAGCCATGTGTTTGCTTCTCTCATGCATGTTGGTTAAAATGCATCCCTGGGCTGATCCTCTTTATACCTAGAGCTAAACTGAGGAAGCATTACTGCTGCCGGAGGGGATTGTGTGGTATGGTAACTAAATCTGTGAAATGGGAACCATCCACTTTAAATAGGAATAGCAATATTTCTCTTCCTTTGTAAAATATTTTGAGATTCACAGAGGAAACAGAGCTGTAGAGCATGATTACAGGACTTATTTGCTTCTCAATTACTGACACTCACAGCACAAAGAGAGTTTTATGCCATCTTAATAAGGTGCAAAGAAAAAATGAGTACAAAAGCATTTATTATTTTTTTTCTAGGACTGTTTCTATAGAAGTCCCACCGCTGTTCCTCATATGCCACTGTATATGCATACTGTCACTTTGGAAAATAAGGTGACTGAAACCTGTCACCTCTGAAAATAAGGTGACTCCCTTTGAAACTACAGGTTGCTTTGGGGTGGTCCAGAGTCATCAATAACTAGCAGAGGTCATCTGGAAAGTAACTGATAGTTGGAATATTTTACCTCCTGTCTTCTGGCTTTCATTTGTTCACCTGAGTATTTTTTTGCTTTCCCAAAAGGAAAACACTGCTGGGTATTGTAATAGACATGAATGCATGCATAGATATGAAGGTGTCAGCAGCCTCTGGGTGTTTCTGATGCCCCCGAACTACTCAAGCTGAGTGCAGGGGGCTCAGAACCAGAGCTGGTCTCCACGTCATGCCAACTTCTGAAATGCTCTGACAGGACTTTTGAAATATGAATTTTGTTAAAACACGGGACAGGATGCAGCTATTTCTACGACCATCTCATTCCGTAAAGGACTGATTACAGGTTTACAAATATTTGCTTTATATTCCCCTGGTTATTCCTCTGGGTGTCTTCTTCTAGTCCTTTGGTTATCTTCTTACTTGCCAGGTGCTTATGCTGGTATCATTAGCTAGCATTTTGTGGGATCTGGATGGACACTTGCTCTGTGTCTCCCATTTAGGTTTGCCATTTCTGCATCCCTGGTGAAGTTTCCTTTGAGTAACACTGAAGCTGGACAACTGGCAGGTCAATGGGAGTCATAGGGCTGTCTGGAGAACTTAAAGGAAATTGCTGGCTGTGGCTGCCATGTGTCTTTTGGATGAAGAAACTGCCAATGTCTTCTTCTTCCAGGAGAGAGCTCACTCTTCTTAGCAGCAAAAGAGCAAATGTCAATCTGTGTTGCACTAAACATTTCCCATTGAACAAAGGTCTTGAAAAATTAGTTTCTTACTTTGTTTCCTGGTCGTTACCATGTGGGTTTTCATATTAAGTAAAACATTTTAGAAAATCAGAATCCCGCATGCCACTTAGGGGAGAATCTTAGTAGTAATACTGCTGGGCTCTTTGTTTGCCTTGAACCGTACTTGGGGATACTCATCACACATTTTGCTTCAAATAAAATTTACTCTTCTGTGTTGCATGTTCTACTAGTATTGAGCTTTTCTTGAATAAGCTGTCAGGACCAGGGGGAGGATGAGCAGAGAGATAGATTATAGTTCCCCTTCCTCCAGCTGGACTGTTGCTTTTTTTGTTTGGCAAAACTGAGACAGTTCCAACTTCAGCTCCAGCCTGTGCTAGTAACTGACAGGCACGAAAAGACAATCTGGTACCTAGTGACTGGTGGACTTCAGGGAGGCATTAATCATGTTTTCTTTCCTTTTCATGGGTCCACAGGGCTGATAGAGAGGAAAACATGAGAAATGGCCTGAGTTCCCTCCCAGTAAGTTTTGTTTGTTTGCTTTACTATTATACAGACTTCATGGTTAGTTTCCACTGGAGTGGTGTTTCAGAGTTCATTGTTTTTTATTCAAAGTTACTTTATTGTACTGTGACAACCATTTATGTGCTGTCTAATAGAGATTGTTATACTAATGGATGTCCTGTTTCAGCAAAGTTTGTGTCTTACAGTTCAATTCAATGAGTCAAGCTTCAAGCTATTATTGTGTGAGTATTCATAACTGTGGACTTTGCAAAAGCACACAAAGGAAAACATCCACCCTTATGACTGTTGAGTAGATAATGCTGTGGAAATAGTTTTCCCTGCAAGTCAGTGGCAGGTAGTAATGACTTTCATTGGCTGTAACTTTCCTTTGAAAGTTGAAATGCTGCCTGGTGCTGGTAGACACTGATATCTAAAGCAAGAGTGCCAATCTACTTTGCCATTTAATATTTCATATATATATATATATTTCTTTTTTTTCAAACAAAACAAAACAATTAGATTAAAAATGTCATTTGCAGTCTGGCCACTGAAATTAGTAGTGTTCCATAGAGGAGGGAGTTCAGGATTTTGCCCACAGTCATGATCTATCTTAAAATATCACTTATTGTTCCTGGTGAGCATCAGAAAAGACTGCAGTTGAACTATCTCTACATTTGATAGGACTGCCAGAGTAGACAAGGACAAATTATTCCAGAAAGAGTGGTTAAAACATGCCCCTGTGGGTTTTATGGTTGCACAGTGTAATCTACCCCTTGGCAAATCTGCTGTCACACCAGTGCTTTCCAGTTGGCAGTTCTTATATAGGTATATTCTAGCTTTGAACAATGGTGAACAAAGACTGGAAATGTTATATTGCAGGTCTATCTCTAAATCTGAAAAAAGTAATAAGTAATTTTGCTGGATTAACAGCCTGATGTAGAAAAAGGTAGAGTGTTGTTTGTTTGTTTGTTTGTTTGTTTGTTTTTCTGTAATGTTTTAGCTGACATTGAAACAAATGTGGTAGGTATACTCTGTGGAGATAAATGCTTATTGTCAAGCTCATTATAATTGACAAAAATTTAAAAAACGGGTTTCTGATTTTAGGTATCCACTTAAATGTTTAACACCCACAAAAATTTTACTATAGTTAGATGCAAATCAGCTGTGTAAATGAAAGGATTGAGGCACGGTGTATGAGCCATGATGTACCTGTTCAATTAACAGACAACTGTTTATGCCCATCTTCACAGCATTTGAACGTCTGGTTTGTGAAAGTTCGAGGCAAGTATTAAAAAATGTGAAGAGCCTGCACTTTCTATTCATAAGGCTTTTTTAGGTTCAGTGCTTGAAATCTTGAAAACCTGAGGCTGGAATCTCAGGTATGCCTTCTTGTGCCATTGGTGCATTTGACAATATGAGCTCCCAGGCTGTGTGAGCAGCTGGGTGTTTTTATGTCCAGCTGCACGGTAATTTCCTCATTACAGTTTGATCTTTCTGTGCATACTAAAATTTTGTGAACTGGCTTGTTTCTAATCAGATATGTGACCTACTTTTTAAAAAATTGTGCAATTCTAGATAATTTAAAATTTGTTGTTAGGCTTGTAGCAAATAGCTACTGAGTCACTATTGCAATGAAGGAACTGAAAAATTAATAAGCATTGAAATTAAATCAAAATTATCATCAGGTATAAATAATCCTGTTGAATACTTTTGTTTCAATAATACCGACTTCTAAGTCATAAAGCTTCAATCAAGCATACATTTGTTTGCTTTGCTCTCATCATTAGCTTTGTGTCAGTCACTGAATGGAACTGTTTTTTGTGGTGAAATTAGGCAGTCCTTCAGGGGCTTGCAGGAGCCTGTAGGATCAGCATCTTAAATCTGATGTGTTATATTTAGTTTCAAGGAAAGCCAGGTGAATAAACTATAACCACATAAGCAGTTAATTTGCTTCCTTTGGCTTGTAAGTGAGAGCCTAGACTTTTCACTGTTCTTGATTATTAACCGTTTTTGTTGGTTTGAAGGAGGTGGATGGTCTGTAAGAATGCTGTTAAACCTGGGGTGCACAGTGTACGTGGGGGTGCCCACACAGCCCACCCCAGGCCAGTTACTGGGATGCAGTACTTCTCATACCAATTTTAATTTAATTTTATATAGCAATTACTGAAATTTATGATAAAAACCCCATCCCTCTCAGACAAGCTTTCTCCACCTGTGGCTCAATTTTCCACTACTCACAGGTAAAAAGAGCTCAATAATGAACAGTGCAGCAGGTAAGTGAAATGAGAAACAAAAAGAACTTGATAGACATTCTCATGAATTAAAATAAATCCTCAAGGAATATTAGTGAGATTACACATGAGCACCAACTTTCCATATCTATGCACTAAATTTTTAACCCCCCTATGAACTCATTATTGTTGTTTTCTGGAATAGCACTGGAAAATAAAATCACTTCTGAAAGACATTTGTGGGGTTTCTCAAATGCCAGCAATGAAGACCCCTGCTGTTCCCATGTTCATCTTAAAAAATTCATATCAGCAATGCCTGAATAAGAAGCAACACAGGAAATTAAGAAAACCCTGCTGAAACCTTTTCAGGGTATATTAAGCTGTGAATCAGATGAAGAACTTGTCTAAACAGATTAATTTCAACAGTACATAGCTTGTACAAAGTCATTATGATGTACACATACCTTACCATAGTCAAAGTGCTTTTGTTCTTTGAAAGGCTCTATTAGAGGTAAAAATCTGTAGAGACAAGTTGGTTAGCAGCCCGATCAGCACCCAGGATGTTGCAAACACTGCTGACTGCTGTTACTGACCTTTGAATGCCATATGTTTCTGTGTTTGCTGGCGAAAGACACAGCCTCTTGTCAAAACATCTCATCAGAAAGGAGAAAGTGCTTGCTTGCTTCTTCTTTTGATGGAGATTTGGATGATTCAAACTCCAGACATTTTAAGAAAGTAAAAATGTTTGAATGCCTGATGGATGAGTCACAGTGTAATTTTGGATCTGTCTGTTGGCATTACAAAGTATCCATTGTAGTGAAAGGATTTCCTGATCTTGAAAATGCTACTGAACCATTGGCTTATAACAGCAAACATTTTTTTTGCAAAATCTCTGACATTAAAAACGTCTCTTTAAGCTTTCCATTTGAGACACACCTTGTTTTTCTGTCAGGCACTCTCAGGAGAATTTACTCTGCATTTTCAGTATTGGAGGTTCCTGTTGTCAGGCAGCTAAGCAGGGAGAAAGAATCAAGAGCTAACTTTGCACAGAGTGCAGGCAGAATGATTTGGAATCTGCTGTCTGGAGACCATTGCTATGACCATTTTGAATTTCTTACTTAAATTCATTTTCAACCAGGTCTTACTGAAATTTAAAAAAAAAAAAAATAAAAAAAATAATAAAAAAAAAAAAAGCAGAATGCTTACCTATTAATGAATGGATGCAACATGAAAGTAGTAAAAGCAAATAAAAATAATCAAGTATACAGAGCAAAAATTCATGAAATGTTGTCCATATATTCTGACAGATCAAAAAAAGGTCAGGGATCTTGATGTTCCTTCTAAAACTGCCCAAAGGCCACACAATGTGCCATGCTTTAATTTTGCTCTTTGCTTTTACACTTAAGAGCATCTATGTATTTATGCATAAATGTATTTCAAATCTGACATTCAGAAGTTTGGTATGTTCAAAACCTTAACACTGGATAATTTAAAAAATGTCATCCTTTTCTGGGTTTCATTCTCAAGATGGTACTAGGCAAAAATGAGAAAAGATTTCTGCAATGCTGGGAACACTTTGCAATTATTTTTTATTTAGAAACAGGTTGGCCAGTCCTCTCCTGAAATGCAAAAATAGGTTTTCTGTTTGTCTTCTCCAACATAAAAAGCTCTGGTGTCTACTCAAGTGTATACTGAAGTATACCCCACCTTCTAGTTTTCTGTTTTAAAAGGCATTGAAGCCAATGTGCAATGTTTGCATAACATTTTAAACATTAGCCACACTTGATTTCTGTGAAGTGATTAGTTCAAACACATGATGTTATCTTTTGTTTGTTTGCTTGATATTTTTATATTTCTTAATAAGAAAGATTCACATTTAGTTAAAATTGTAACATCTACCTTCAGACATTTAGCATCAAGTAATTACTTGATTTATTTGTGGCATAGAAAACAAGTGTTTTGGGGTCAAGACCTGAACTTCAGGGAAATTGGCATTACATTTGCTTTCACAGACGTCAACAGAAATTTGCCACCTCACTGCAATAACCAAGATGGCTAGACATTGCTTGTTGAGTAAGAAAATACTGAGCACTTCATGAACCTTAAAATGTTGTTGCAGATAGTCATGCTCACAACCCAAGTACATATTGTATCTAAGCATTTCCTAGTTTGGACTAGTTTCCAGATTCTAGACTAACAAACTAATTGTTCCATGAGACAGCTCAATCATAGCTCACAAGAATTTTCACAGGCCACCTTTTCAAATATATAGAAGACAGTGATCAAGTCAAGGTATGTTTATTTTAACTCACACGTTTTAAAAAGTGGGCCATGAACTCAGGAATTTTAATAAGGGACAATGTTGTCTTTTCATTGCAAAATTAATTGGTGAAGAGAGAGAATAAGGGAGAAATGTTTCTCCTTGACACACATTCAGTATATATTACATTCAACCATGAAAAGAGTTCAAGACTAATATTACCTTTCTTTCCTACATCAAAGGAAGAATATTCAAGTAAGCTTTTCTTTGAGTTGGTGGAAACATGACACAGAAGTATTTCATCTTTTCTTCTCCTAATAATTATAATTCTGAGCATCTTAAGGGTGTGGAGGAGCCATAACAATTCTTTGGAAAATGGGATATTTTTTTTAAGACAGTGTGAAATGAAAAAAGAAAGATAACCTTTTTCCAAACTAATTGAAATTCTTAACCCAAAGCAACCTTGCATTCACTTTATCTTTCAACACTCCCAGTTGTGCTAGCAGCTCCAGAGGCAGACTGGACATGTCTTTGTTAAGAAAGCAACCCAGCTCATGGGCTCCAATGGGCTTGCTCTCGGGTCTGAGCACTCCCCAGCCTCAGCCAGGTTTGCTGAGTACTGTTTCAACTCAGGTCTGCTTTGGCATGAGAGACACGATCTCAATCGCATGTCAAGGTGAGGGCAGATAGACTGGTGTTGCTATTGAATAAAGCCCACCCCAAGGAAGAAGAGTTGTGGGGTATCCCAGATGTATGTTGTGGACACCAAGCAGAATTTATCAAGTCTTAGAACAATTTTACATCACTCTACTTTCTTTCTCATCAAGGGAGAGAGGACACCAAACAAGAAAAAAAAAAAAAAAAGCAAAAAAAAAAGATGCATTGCAGGTTTTCTGCATTTCAGATGAATCACCAACTTTGAAAGATGTCTTACCTGAAGAACTTAGCAAACATCTGTGAGAAAGCCCCTGGGCAGGCAGCCTATACCCCACAAGCATGCCTCTCACTGGGCTGGGCAGCCCTCTGAATGCACCGAGGCTACATTAGTGGTATTTAGAAGTCTGTCAGTATGCATGGCTCAGGTGTAACATTACTGAACACTTTGTACAGTATTTTGTGCCTGTAAAAGCCAGAACAACTTGCCCCAAGTATGGAGCAAGTGTTGTGCACAGCTTGTATTTCCTGGTGGTATTTGCATTGGCAATGTTGTTTGGAATCCAGTGTGTTTTAGTCAGAGTGTTTACCCTTCTGTCTATGAAAAAGTAGCCACTGGATTTGTTTCCTATAGAGGTGGAATATGATATTTAATACTCTAGCTTTTTTAAACAGCATTTTCCTTTTTTTTATTTTTTATTTCCTGTTTTCTTTTAGCAATTTCTCCTTAAGGCTTTTTTTCCTGAATGTTTATTTTTATTTTTTTATTTTTTATTTTTATTTTTTTTTCCACTGCATACTTTCACTAAAGCTTCATTCAATTTTGGGCATTTCAGATTGCTTTCCTTACCTTGGTGACAGTATTTTGCTGTAGCCAACACTTGCAAAGTTACCTATATTTTTGGTCACATAAACACTATCTGTCTGTATTTTATTTTTGATTTAGTTTTAAACAACTAGACAATTGTAAATTTCTGAAAACACTCCATTTTAGAAATTTTTATTTTTCTACTGATGAGCAGAAAGCAACTGACATCTGTAGGCCCTTTTTCCATTCAGAAAACTTGAAATTCTTGATTTTACAATATCAGATTAGCTGTTGTGTTGACAAACCTGAATCTGACATTCTCTCTCTCCTTCTCTCTCTCTCTTTTTTTTTTTTTTTTTTTTTCCCCCCCGACAGGGCTCCAAGCATCTTCCTTTCTAGAAAGCAATAATACTCTGGTGTCTTCAGACTGGCTCCTGAGATATATGATTGAGTATCTTCCTGTAAAATCTCAGGTTTTTTTGAATTGCCTAGTAGATTTTAGAGTAACTCAGTGATGATATAACCAAAATGCTACTAATAAACATACTTCAATGAATGCTTTTATTTCCATATTAATTCTTACAAAATAATAGGCTTCTGGCCCTTAGAACTGCTTCTGTGATATCTATAACCCTTGGGGTTTCATTAGTCAAGACACACATTGAGAGCTGTTCATTACATAAGATTTTCAAAGGCCTTTCTCTTGCTCAAAGGAGAGAAAAAAAAAGTACTTTCCATGTTTTACTGTTTGAAGAAACCATTTGAAATCATTTGTTGCTAGTTCTTCAGACTTTATTAAGCGGTATGTAAGATGTTATGAAAAACAAACATATGAGACACTGCTGAACCTTCTTATTGTACTCTGTCTGTAAAATGGGTTAAAAACCCCAAAACAAAGGTACTTTGAATTCTGCAAGTGTTCTGTTCACCACTGAACTACATGACAAAGGTAAGGTTTCAAACGTGCTGAGAGGGTTTCCAGCTTCCAGCCAATGCTGTTGGGTACAGCATTGCATCCCCATGAGTCCTGAGTCTTCCTCATTGCTCCACCTTTTGTGTCCTACTTCAGTTGGGCTGGTCCTGAATGAAGCTCATTGACTTCACAATCTTTCTTTATAAATATTTTCTTTCTCTTTGCTGTTATTCAGCAGTGTTATGACAGAAAACACTGATTGGTTTTGCATGAACACCCTCTGTTCCTTGTGTAAAGTTTATTAGCAATGGTGAGTCAGGGGAATAATTTGTTTAAGTACTGATACAAGCACTGCCGTTTATTTTGGAAATAAATTGCTGAGAAGAAGATTGTACAGAAAATGTTTGCTGATTCTGCATATAGTTCCTACAAAACCTGACCTTGTCATTCCTACAAAACCCGACCTTTCCTTATGTTTTATAGCAACCTTGCGAAGTTCACTTGCATTATCGGGTGACAGATTCCAAAATCAAGAATCACACATACAAGGCAAAAAAGTTTGGGTTGTTGCCCTAATTTCTGTCAGGGGGTTGCACAATACTTCCCATGAAACAGCCACTTTACAGAAGAATTAAGTGCATGCTTCCCTCCAACAGCTCTGCCAAACTACCTCAATGGGATGTAGACTGAGTGGGTAGCCCTAATATCTAAACTGTCCCTCCTGAAGATAAGAAACCAAACCAAACAAAACAAAACATTGTAGAGTGGGAGAGGAAGGGCAGAAGAAGCTGTGTAGAAGTTTTTAAAGTAAATTATTGAGCAATGCAGGGTGAGCTGAAACACTGCCTAATGCCTCAGAGTGAACCACTTCTAATTCCTAATTATTACATCTTTTTCTTGACCTTGAGGGACCTCACAATGCTCTTAAGCATGATCTCCAAG